CTCTCTCTCTCTCTCTCTCTCTCTCTCTCTCTCTCTCTCTCTCTCTCGTGTCTGGCTGCTCATACACAGACAGCCCTAACCAACTGTCTCTTCTTCTCTTCTACTTCTGCTCCTTTCCCCCCCATCTCTTCTTTTTCTACTCACTTCAGGCTGCTCTGCAGGTAAGCTGTGTTACTCTTCCTTTTTTCCACTTCACTGTCATTACTGTGTCATGTCTGCATGGTTGGATAGACACTGTACATGGAGCCGGTTTATCACGAGTTCAACTGGCATTATGCATGATATGATGCTAATTAATATATTTATGTCATCACGCGTGTCCCTGTGCCTTTTGCAGTTAGTGTATAAGCTGACCTCAATTGTGCTTTATCACACAAGACTAGCCACAGTGCATCATGCTGCTTGTTTTGTGCTTAGTTTGGTTCAGTTATGTACATATGTTAAGCTAAATGTATTTGTTATTGTCTTCGTCACATGTCTTTTCAGTTATCTCTCAAAGGTTTCCAGTTGAATGAAGTGAAGCATGCTAATAGTACTCAGTTATGGGTATTTCACAATTAGAAAAGAAATGCATTGAACTTGCACATATTTACTTTGAAAATGAGCAAAAGCAACATTTGGTGCTAAGATGATTTGGTAACACTTTACAGTGGCTTCACTCTGGTATATTATATATATCACAACAGTGCTGCATTACTTAATGAAATATCCATAACGTTACTTATTATAATACTAGACTGACACGCGTTCCCAGGCTGACTTTAAGTGAGTGACCAGGTTGGGGTTTAGCATTTTTTCAAAGGCACTTCAGCATGTTGCATTTGGACTTGTACCTGCTGTGACAGGGACTGTATAGTTCTCCAACCCATCAAGCTACTTCACCACCTTGCAATAGAACGTACAATGCCGATTAAATACATTATAGTTAGTTTGAACTGATCTAATGGCCTGTATTAGTGACCAGGGTCATTTGCACATAAAGTAAACTGACTTCTATGGATGTCTCTGACTCCTCCACTTGTCTTTGTAGTTGCGTTGGTGATGCAGACCGTTGACTCGCTGTTTCGTCCTCATCACTTATTGGTTGAATGATGTGTGAAGGTTGGGCATACTGGGCAGTGTTGTGAAACTCCACTGGACAGAGAATGCTTCTTTTATACCTGATTATGAGCCAGAAAGTGAGTTTTGAAAGGCAGAAGTCTTCTGAAGTAATTGGTTGTTGGTATTGATGAATGACCATATAAGCCCCCTGTTATTTTATTACGTGTCATTACGTGTTGTGTGTCATTTGGCACTAAAACATTTACTAATTGCCAACTTTACGACAATAATATTTACACACTGTCCACTTGATTTGTGCTTGCACACAAACCTTTCCCATTATCGCTGTATTGATGAAACCGTTCATCCGCACGAGAGCTGAAGGGCGACCCGGTGTTGTGTTTGAATGCTTCCTATCTGCCTCTGTGCAGCAGCAGCACTATGACCACCACAGGGCATTACCGCGCCCCATTGGGGCTAATGAAGAGAGAGAGAGATGTTTCGGTCTTGTCTCATAAAGAAAGAGAATACGTGTGATTGGGTTTGAAGCGACTATGATATTAAAATAATCTCATTTATTTTTCTGCAAGAATCTGCCAGAGTCTGTTAACTGTCATACACACTAAATGCCATTTCAAAAGCTCAGACATTCAACATTGTTTCAGGAGTAGCTAATTTATTAACACACACACACACACACACACACACACGAGGGAGATAAGAGAGTGAGGAGAAAAGCTCAGCACGCGTCTGGTAAATTGAAGTCAGTATAAATGTTTGATGCCTAAGCTCCACTGCACGGTCCACTTAATTATTCTAACAGCCACACTAGCATCACACACACACACACTCACACACATAGGCGCAGGTGACCTTCGCTTAGGCCTCAGGAAGAGGAGCAGCAGCAGCAGAGTCAGTGACGAAAGTTTTGATGGACATGCACTGTCATACGAGAGGAGGTGGTGAGGGTTTGTTGAAGAGACGGGCCACGCTGCTTAGAGTGACACACTGCCATTGAGATGCTACACAGAGAGACTTTGAGATAGCGAAGATTCATCGGCGTAACGGGGAAACACAAAACCGGCAGAAAATGAAGATTTTCAGCCGTTTTCACTACGTTTGGTATCTGGTGAGTGCACCTAAAGAAAGGAAGCTGAGTTAGAGTGTGTGTGTGTGTGTCCATGCATGCGACAGCGTCTCTGTGCTCATGGCTATTTATAGTAATAGTCAATGTTTGTATGTGTTTGTCTTGTGTCTACACCATTTTTATTTTTGACAAATCCATGATTTCTAATATTCCTGTGGTAGCGTGAAAAATACATGATTTATTTGTTTCTGTGTGCCGTTCTCTTGCTGTGTGTGACATTTTAGGACGTGACTGAGCTCGAGTCAGACTGCCGCAACTTTCGCGCTTGGAGGTCGACCTCTGTACGTAGAGTCACCACCCCCCCCCCCCCCCCCCTTCCCCTCCCCCCCTGCACACGCTAAGAGACCACATCGCATTGTTTGTGTACATGTTTACACCTTCGTCTTTCTCCTCATTTCAGAGTGCCTCACATGCATTGGTGTTGATGTGCTTTGATTATGCAGCATGTTTGTTTTGATGCCTCGTTGGCGGTGCTGTTGTGTGCTGCAGTGAACTCAGGTTGCTGGTTTGATGTCAGTGAGTGGTTTGGTTGCTTGTCAGTCCATTGTCACACATCTCTGTTGACAGGCGAAAACCTTGCATCTCTAAAATGTTTCAGGAACTAAGAACCACGGCCTTACTTCTAGTGTGACAGCTAAATGTTCAGGGTTTCTCAGGCCCACGCGGTTAGTCATTTCTCAACCTGTAGTTGAAACAAGAGAACCAGAAAGGTTTTCACATGACAGCAAGAGTGAATTGAAGTAAAACAAAAGAAAATGAATTGTGTGGCCCTACTCCCGAGGTTCATATTCAAGGTGATTTGTTGAATGCCTGGATTGGTATTTTCCATTATCTTTCTGTGCAGAAGCTTAATACAGACACAGTTTGTTCCCCTTGTGCACCCAAAATAACCTCAGTTGTCCCAGTGTATGTCCTGCTGGAAAATTGTGTGTGTGTGTGTGCGTGTGTGTGTGCATCCATCTGATACACCATGGTATCATAGGGCAGAGGGGTTTAACTTAAGCTCAGGTTACGTTTACAGATCCAAGCAATGAGACTATGTGCAGTCATGGACTATAAGTAATGCACAACATCAAACACACAAACAGTTTGTTGTTTGTTGTTGTTGGATCTGATCTATACTCAAGAGCACTTGCCTGATTGAAAGTTTCTAAAGCAAACATAGATTAGTATAAATGTTTGAGAACACTTTATCGGACAATGCTTTCATCCTTGATTCCGATCAAGTACTCTTTGTATTAAAAGAAAAATCTGATTTGTAGAAGCATTTAAAATGAAGCACTTTGAGAAATGACTTTGTAAACATCAGGAACAAAGACCGAATGCAGTCAACCTTTTATAGTTTCCTCCACTGAGAATAGGAATGTGTAGAATCTTAATACATATTTGTCCACTTGTTACATGTTTAGCATGGTTGTTTTCCAGGAAGTTAGGAGGAAATAATAGTCCGTGTTACCACCTGCTAAATGACTGAGGTCATCTCCACTCAGCACACAGAATTATGAATGTTGACAGAATTTACTTTCTGCTCTCAAGGTTGAAGCTCATTTCAATTGGTCAGGGTTTTTCTATCAGAGCGCCGCGTCATAGTCTGTTAAATAAGGTGAGTCTCTGTCTGTGTCAGGAAACGACTCTGAATGTTTGTAGAAGAACAACAGGGAAGGTGATTCCACAGCTCACTACAGTGACAGACCTGGAGTCGTGACTGGTTGTGGAGATGGTGACACTCGGTGTAACCTGACTCCACAAGGACACACACACACACACATGAATGCATCATGGTGTTCAATGTCACTTGAAGCTGAGAAAGCTTGGAGGGTGTTAGGAAAGTGTGGCAGCAGCTCAGGTAGTTAAGGCAAGACATGACAAGACAACTCAGTGAGAGAGAGGATGTAGGAAAACTTTACTTTACTTGGAAAACAATAACTAACTCACTATGTGTCTGAATACCTAACTAATTAAACTCTTATAATGTCTTTGTTCAGTGGCGTTTGTTGATGTAGCCTCAGTCTTAATTTAAGAAGTCATGTGCGTGTTTAGAGTATTTGGAAGACTGGACATGGTGGGTCTAGTTGGCAAACCACAGAGTATATGACTTTAACTTATTGTAACTGACAGTTTTAACTGTTATGAATATACTGTAATTATTACTCTTATTAGTACCACTTGTCAAATCAACTTCAGCGACAGAGGGAGATGTGGATTAAACAATACAAATGATTGATATAGATTTTAACTCTGGAACCGTCAGCTGTGCTGGCGTGTTGTTTCTATCTTGTCCTATTCTTGGTGTGAAACATCCAGGTCCGTGTGAGAAGCAGCCGAGCAGTAATCACTAGGACCAAACAACAATATCCACATTTTAAATGTTGGTAATTTGAGAAATTTGTATTTAATGTTTGCTTACTTTTTCTGTCTTTGCACTCTTTCTTTTTGTTCAGGACTTCTCGAATGACGACACCAAGCTGGAGTACAATGTGGATGCAGACAACGGCATCGCAATGGAGGGTTATCTGTTTAAGAGGGCCAGCAATGCCTTTAAGACGTGGAATAGGTACAAAAGACACAATTCATTCAGTCTCCTTATGAATACATTTACAATTCCATTATATGATAAGGATCAAAACTTAGAATAGAGATATTGCTTTAAATTTGAATACGTCATCAATTACTTTCAAACCAGTTTTGATACTTTTTTCACGCCATTCGTGACAATCAAACCACAGTCACCTCTTTCTTTTAAGGTTGACACTTAAGGTTGCATAATAGTTTAACCCAACAAATATTCAAAGCTCCAGCTGGGATTGCTGTTCCTCTCATCGTTTTATTCCAAAGTGAATGTTAACACTGGCTGAATCCGGCAGATTGTAGTTTTACTGTATTGAGATACTCACCAGCTCTCTCTCTAAGCATTGCCATTGCTCTCATCCACACTAGAACTACGTCAAAGCGTCTGATTTCAGGAGTATCACCAGCAGCTGCATGTGACTCTGTTTTGTCTTTCAGGCGTTGGTTCTCCATCCAGAACAATCAGCTAGTTTACCAGAAGAAATTTAAGGTATGTCGAGTGACTCCCTGCACACTGACCACAATCAAATATGCATGTGTTCGCCCCCCCCCCCCCCCCATATGTATTTTTAACGTAGCTTCGTTTAAGAGCTGTAGTAACCACTTCAACACAGACGCTTACTGTAGAATAAACCACAGCTGTATGTGAAGATGTGTGTCTGTAATCGTTTAATATGATGCAGTCCATGTCAAAATGTATTGTTTTGTATTATGTAACACTGAAGAATTATTTTTATATATTTTTGCTCCATTTTAAGAGCAGTTGGACAAAAACAGCTTGTAGCTTTGATTGACACATCAGGCACTGTATGGAAACATATCTATGCAAAGTTGTTATTTGCGTGTGTGTGTGTGTGCGCATGTGTGTGGTTGTGTTGTGTTGTAACCAAAGCTGCTGTGCTGTCCCCACAGGACAACCCTACAGTGGTGGTGGAAGACCTGAGGCTGTGTACCGTCAAACACTGTGAGGACGTAGAGCGTCGTTTCTGTTTCGAAGTGGTGTCGCCCACCAAGTAAGTTTAAGTCCCTATTAGTCTAATGAGCAGTGGAATATGTTACTAAAGTTGGGAAGGTGGAATAGCAGTGTACCCACCTTCTCCCAATTGTACGCGTGCACACACACACACGCACACGCACGCACGCACGCGCACATATATACATTTAGCAGACCGCAGTTGTGTGATGCTTGTCTGTCCCAACAGGAGCTGTATGTTGCAGGCAGACTCGGAGAAGCTGCGACAGGCCTGGATCAAAGCCGTCCAGAACAGCATCGCCACCGCCTTCCGCGACAAGGGAGAAGACGGCGAGGTAAGAACCAAACACACTGACATATACTGACTGGATGGTCGAAGGGATTCACATATACTTTAGTTAAATAAATGGATAAATAGATCAGGTATGGAAACATTAATGAACCTGTGGTCACGTATGTAAAACCAGTCTTAAGTATACATTCAGTTCCCCCTTGTCTAGACTGTTAGTGTTTGCTGCTATAATACCACAACTACACCACAGGGATAAACATTTGATTTAGCTTAATTTCATCCTATCCCATGTTGGTAGATATTTACCATCCATCCTGTGTATCTCCCTGTCTCTCTTATGTCAGAAGCTTGATAGGAAGTCGTCCACGTCGACGGGGAGCCTTGATTCCGGCGGGGAGCCGAAGGAGAGGCCAATCAAAGGAGAGAGTGCCCTGCAGAAGGTCCTGGCCATCCCAGGCAACACCTGCTGCTGCGACTGCGGCCAGCCAGACCCCCGCTGGGCCAGCATCAATCTGGGCATCACCCTCTGTATACAGTGCTCCGGTATCCACAGGTAAGGTCATTTATTAATCCTTATAATACATAAAAATGGCAATAAAATGGCAATAAAAGAAAAGGAAAATTTAAATTCTCAAATAAACAACTTACACATTTAAGTGCTATGAAAAGTAAAGGGGTTTCTTCCAGGGAGGAGGAACTAATAGGAAACTAATAAACTGAAGAAACTAATTGTATTTATTTATTTATCTACCACTCTGCAGGATCACAGTTCATTTTGAGTTAATTTTGGTTCCATGAAAACCGGAAATTATTATCATCAGCATTCATTGCATGTTTTTCTGTTTGATGTGTTTAGGGATTTATGAAATGTAAACTCACGCAGCCTGCTTGGGATGTTGTGACGACCTTTTGTTACTTTAGTTTCCAGAGAAAAATATTTAACTATCATTCGTGCCAGATTTTAATTCATATATAATTGTCCAGGGATTCAGCTTTTCTTTCTCACTACATCCTAAAAAAAATGATCTTCATTGTGAGTTTCTAACCAGAGTCAGTTCAGAAATTAAAGGAAATAAATTATACAAAAATGTAATATTTTATAATCTGAGAACTACCTTCTCAACATACTGGGTCTTTGTGGTTAATGCTGCCCATAAACCTGCAGACCCCAATTTCCACTTTACGGCTAAAATACAAATCTACACTCAAGTGTGTTGAAACGAATGAACAATGCCTTTGTGCTTTTTTCTAATGCTTCTTTGACCTGCAGGAGTCTGGGTGTGCACTTCTCTAAGGTTCGGTCTTTGACTCTGGATACATGGGAGCCAGAACTTCTGAAGGTGATGTACATGAACAATCATACACAAACATCCAGTTCAAACTGAAAGTCTTACTTTCAACAAAGCGCCGATAACAAAATGCTTCTAATTTATTTTGATTGAACCTTTCACAGTTGATGTGTGAACTTGGAAACGGAGTGATCAATCAGATCTACGAGGCTCGGCGAGAGGAGCTGGGATCCAGAAAACCGCACCCAGGAGACCCAAGGTACAGAAGCTGTAGACAGCATAACGTAATAGTTTTTGATGAGATAATTGATTAGAATAGAGGCATCATCTTTATATAGACAAAACTTGACATTGTGATGAATTAAATCTGCAATCTACAAACTGTTGTTCAGCTTTTGCATCACATTGAACTTGTGCTATGCTTCTCAACAGACACGAGGTAGAGGCCTACATCAAAGCCAAATACGTGGACCGGCGGTTTGTACGCCGGCCTACAGACGAGGAGCTTCGCAACAAAGTGGTTTCTCTGAGCAAACAGGAGAAGAGGCTGAGCAGCAGCTCTGAGCATCTGCCCCCGAGACCGCCACCGCCCACCCCAAAACTCCGACCCGGCCAGTCAGGTCAGTCGAAACATTAACATAACGTAACACAGTTCTTATACAGAGTCTGTCGACCGCAACCTTTCACTCATCGCTGAACTTAATGAAATAACTGACGACAAAACTCATTCAAATGTACTGATCTTTGCCTGATTCTTGTCTGACGATAACACAAATGATTACCACTCAAAAACGTGTACTGAATTTTAGCTGGATGGATGTAAGACCACGAGGTCCCACAAGCTGCTGGGAGCAAATGCAGTATTCACCTGCAACGTTTAAAAATGAATACAAATTTCAGAGATTGGATGTTTCTGTTATACAGAACTGTTAGTTTCTCTTCCGAAACAAAATTGCATCAAGATGGCAAGGTCCGTGTCATTTGTGATTGTATTGCCACCTTTTTTTCTTTTACTATATCCTCTATGTGATTTAAGCACCGCCATGGAGAAGTGTCTCCCCATCGGCATACTTTATGTTCTCTGTGAACAGCACATGCCTCAGCCCTCCTTGCCTCCCATTGCTTCTCGTAGTCCGTCTCCAGACTCCAGTGTCCACCAAGCTGGTAGTCTAACTATCTCTGCTTTTACCCTGCCTTCCTCTCTCTCTCCTCTTCCTCAATATTCCCCCCCCCCCCCCCTTTCATGTTATGTGCTTCTGGACTAACCCCTGCTCTCACTGCCTACCCTTTAACTCCCCCTCACCCTGCCACTCAATTTACACCCTCCGCCTTTCAATTCCCCAACTCCCATTATCCCTAACGTAGCTGTTGCCAGCGGCAAGGAGGCCCGCCGCGACTCTCTCTTCTGTGCTGACGAGCTTGACTCACTCTTCTCCTACTTTGACAACTCTGCCAAGCTCAGGAGCAGTAAGTACTAAATGCTCAGTGTTTGGCTTGCTTCTCCATCCTCCGCTCTCCATTTGTGTTCCCTGCTTTGGGTCTTTGGACTATCAACCCTTCATCCACTGCTCTGTTACTCCTTCATCCAGACCTTCTTAACGGACCATCCCGTCATTTTAAGAGCATTGCAGATGTTTAGTTTTTCCCGGGGCTGGGAAGTGTTTCTCTCTCACGTGGTTTTGTTCAGTGCCTGGTATTTGCATTTGTCTCTGTCTCATCATGTTTTTGCTATTTAGGGACCTGAAACATAAGGTGATGGTGGGGATCTGTCCTCCGGTTCTCTTTCTGTTGATTTCAGCCGGGGTCTTGTGTGCGTACACTAAATGTACAAAATATTAGGACCACCTGCTGTTTGTTGTGATCATACTGGAGGAAAATGATCAGCTGTCAAAAGCCAGCAGATGTTCAACGTCAAAACAAAACGTTCATCATAAGGTTTCTGAGGGGCTACATTAAAGGGGTTGTGTGATGATCTGAAAACAATCAGCAGGAAGGTGTTCCTTTTATTTTATACACTCAGTGAATGACACCTGTGTGTTGTTCTACAAGTCGTGATTCATTCTCTTTGTTTTACAGTAAAAAGTGCAGACAGCGGCATCCAGAACAGCGCTGATGGGAGCAGGGAGATGCTGGCCACCACTGCCTCCAGTAACAGCCTGACAGATGCAGGTCAGACACAAACACACACACACTCACTCACACACCTCTGTCATTACAGAGACATCCCTGCATGTTTGAATATAAAGCAGGAGACATATTAAGTCAAATAATAGATATATCTTGAGCAAGCTTTAGGGGGATAAGTATGTTACAAGAAAATGAAGAAATGGTTAAAAAGACAATGAATGTCCTCGTCTTTTTGTAATGTTTCACTATGTTGGAAGACAAAAAGGAAAACCTCTTGAGTTATAGGAGAGTAAGAAAGTTTTCTCCAGTAATTTAGAGCAGGTTTGGAAAACCTTATCAAGGAATATCATGATTTTCCCAGCCTGGAAAAGTTTGGAGTTTGTCCCAACAGCTTGAAAAGTGTATTTCTTGTTGAGAAGAAATGTCTCGCATCTCTTTTTTCTTCCCACGTTTCAGACGCCGCCGAGTCTCCCCCCATGCCGATGCCTGCCACACTGCCTCCTCCGTCGCCGTGTAAGGAGGTGGTTTTCTACGAGCCTAAGGAGTACAGCTCGGGTCTGCAGCTCTACTGGGCCGCATGTGCCCGCAGCCTGCCGGACATGGCGGAAGCACTGGCCCACGGAGCCGAGGTCAACTGGGTCAACACGGAGGACGACAAGAGGACGCCGCTGATCATGGCGGTGCAGGGGGTGAGCAGCCAAGTAACTCACAGTGGAACAGAACAGCTGATCTTTAGATAATAACAGGGCTTACTTATGATCGTTAAATGATTCCTTTCAGGGTTCGCTGGTCTGCTGCGAGTTTCTGCTCCAAAACGCCGGGAACGTGAACCAGCAGGACGCTCAGGGCCGAGGACCCCTCCACCACGCCACCATGCTGGGACACACGGGGTTTGCTTGTCTTACACATCTCATTACGTCACCAAACCTTTACTCTTACATTTTAAAGAGTGTGATACAACTCAGATTATGTGTGAACTCAAAACAATGCTAAACTTTTCTCTCTCTGTTTTAGGCAAGTGTGTTTATTCTTAAAAAGAGGAGCCAATCAAAATGCCACCGACATCGATGAGAAGACCCCCCTGATAATAGCAGTGGATGCAGCCAACGCAGACATCGTCACACTGTGAGTGTTTATTCTTTTTGTTTTTTTCCTAACCTTTAGATAAGGGATCATTTGCTGTCACTATATAAACCCTGATGGAGTAAAACAAGAACCAGATACAGATCACCCGGTAGAGAATTATTCTCTAAAACAAACCAACCGGTACATTATCACGTCCATTACACAAGCGTCTATCAGAACCGAACCCAGCTGACCCGTCTGCATTAATCGAGGAGTAACAACTTCCTCCACCAGGTGTCACTACTTAGTCAGTTTACAGATCTCTCACCTCTAGATGGAACACAGCGGCCTGTAGTTCGGTTCCTAAAAGAGCCCCGACAATAGTGAGACATTTTAAGAGTCTAAATACTGATTGTATCTCGTACCGATGACTAATCTGTCACTTCCTGTTTCTTAACCTGCACCCCAGGCTGCGATTGGCCAAGATGAACGAAGAGATGCGAGAGGCGGAGGGGCCCTACAGCCAGTCAGGTCAATATAACACCAACAGCCCCACCGACATGCAGTACAGGAAGTGCTTGCAGGAGTTTATTAGCCTGCAGCTGGATGAAACTTAATAACTGTCCGCTCTCGTTGAGACACAGGGGCAGCGTGCTGTGAAACCCGGGCTCATCAGAGGACATGTAAAGCCCAGGTTTCACAGTTGGGGTCAGTTGTCTGAAAACGGCAAATTAAAACCCAGATAAACCCCGGTCAATAATTTCTGATTACAAATTGGAGGTAGCTTTTGTTTTATTACGAGACCCCAGGGTGAAAGGAAATTTGATCCACTGATTCGAGAGAACTCAGCCCAACTCGGTCCGTGGTGCTCCTGTGTCGCTGCTGTACTGTGAGTGCATCATGTTAGCGTCCCAGCTCCTGCCAGGTGCGATGCTGTATTCATGTGACAGGGTTAAAGCCATCGACTCTGGGCTTGTCTTATTGATAGCTCAAAACTAAAAGAAACAGTGTCACTTTTCCCTAGATCGTCTGTACTTCCTCCCTTTAAGTTTAAATGATATAGCCTTTGCTGTTTCCCTCTATTTAAGAAGTATTCAGTGATTTATAGCAGCTAATGATATATATATATTTTTTGACCATTTTTCAGTTAGTGTTGTGTCTCTTTGCAAATAAGAGAAATCTAACCGGTAACTGCCAGAAGTATCCAGTGACCTCAAAGTGACGGCACTTTTCACCATTCGGCAATAATCATGACTTTTGAATGACATTGTTTTGAATCATCTGACCAGTCTGGAGGGGCGTAGCGTGTGTGTGTCTATAAACAACTAAGTTTCATTTTAAAATGACCTGTCAGAAGTAATTTACGCACATTCCTAATTAATGGTTATGCAACTACTACTGTACCTTGTCCTGCGATTGTACAGTTCCCATTTTAAGTCTTAACCATTTTCGAGGCCTGTTTACTTTATTTGAACTGTTTGATGTCCAAAATGCATCTTGCTGTTGTGACATGTGACAAAAAAAAGTATTTTAGAACAGTTTGCTTTTTATAAACATTATTCGAGGAACCATATGATAAGTATACTTCCGACGAAGGCCTTTTAGTGCCATTGCATTGATTGTATTGAATGTTAGTGGGTTTTTACTCAAATATAGACGAACCGCCTGAGGACGGTTCATCGTAGTGTTAGAGAAATGTCCATATCTAACCGTGTGTGTGTGTGTGTGTGTGTGTGTGTGTGTGTG